ATAAGGGTCCATGAAAACTATATCAATGGTGATTGATTCTCTAAGGGGACCTAAAAGGACCATTCAAAAAATGTTGTGTTAGGTTTGATGGTTAAAAGAAGGTAAAATAAAGTGTGCCCCATCAACCATTCATGTACACCCACTCGACACTATAATTTTTCATTTGCACTTTTGGGTCCAATTATTATCATATAGTTAGGCAAGTTACTAGTTTCATATAATGTAATGTTAAAAAAATCCTACATCTGATACCATCGAATACAAGGGATCAATATATAAATCTTTCTATCACAAGAAAAATAAACTTTTATTATGTTCATCGATCATCTCTCTTTTCTACACTCCGAAAAATCAGATAATTTTAACCGTCTATAATTATATCACAGACTAATCAACTATAGACCTTAAAGGTGGATTCTTGGTGTTTAACAATGGACCCATGTTCCATAAGTGGTCATCAACAAAGTGCAAAGGGATTTTGGATAGAAGAGGAAAGGGAAAGGGAAAAAGTGACCCTAAAATTAAAGAGAGTTCACGTTAGGTCAATTTAATATAAAAAAACAACTATTAAGAGAATCTTGTAAGGACCTGGTTAAAAGGCAATGCAAAGACTACCCTACAAGTCGCCTTCCGGAAGACAAGAAGGAAGAAAAAGACTCCTACTTGAAAACTAAGACTGCCAAATTCGAGCATAGTTTTCAAGTCTATAATTTGAGCTATTGGAATATTATGCTGTTTGAATTTGATTTATAGCTTAAATTGCTCGATTTTAACTATCATGCAGTTAAATTTTTAAAAGAAATAAATAGAATTCGAATAATTTATAAATGATAATGTCTCATATACACCTATACTTATCCAAAATTTGTTGCTATGATTACGTGATGATTGCATACATATTTATCATTCATGCAGCTCCTCTACAACAGGGTGGTTACTTTTTTCCCGGATGAACTAACACTGTTGGACCTAGGGGAGCGGGACCTAGGGGAGCGGGTCGGCGGTCATCCCCTAAAAATCTAAAATTACTATATATTTAAGTGTGTGTGACTAACACGAGCGGAGGAGGGCCACCACCGGCGTGTGGTACCCGAGCTTTGTCTTGGTTTCGGCATGCAACGCCGCTTGAAATGGGAAGAGAAGAATGGGAGAGTAAAACATAAATGAAAGAAAGTAATTAGGTTTCCAGGAGGTCAAACGGCAGATATGGCAAAGGAGTAGTCTAAGTATTTAAGTTTTGGGTTAACTGCATTGTAGTCCTTCGACTTTTAGAATAAATTCACATTTTGGTCACTAATTCTTTGCCTTTTTTATTCTTGCTATTTCTCCACTTTTGATTTCATACGTGGTTTAGGATGATTGGTAGGAAAATCACGTCTAAGTCCTCAAACTTTAGGCGTATTTTTACAAAATAGTCACTATTTGTGTTTTTTCATATTTTTATTTTGGTGCTATGATTTCTCTAGTTTCCATTTTAGTCACTTGTTATCTATTTAATTTATTGTCCTTTATATTTGATTACGATGCCCACTGTTATTTATTTATGTTCGATTCTACGCACTATTTTTTTTATGTTTATTTGGTTATGTTTTATTTTATTTTATTTTTATAATGTTTTATTTATTAACTTCTAATGTTTATTTATTTATGCACTTTCATTTCTATTTATGCATTTTATTTTTATTTGGTTGGGCACTTTAGTTTTATGTACTAACATTCGATTTACTCTCGTATCTAATAAGAGCTTTTCTTGTTCTAGAGTTGAAGTTAGAGCTTTCATTTCTTTGGTTTATATCTCCTTTTATTTAGAGACCTAGTTAAGGACTTTAGTGCTATACCTTAAGGTTAGAGAACATTAGAATCTAGAACTTTAAGATAGTTAGTGAACTACCTTTGTGTTTGTATTCTTCGTATTTAGATTAAAGAAACATGTCATACATTTTCAATACTTTTGTCACATTATTTTGAACAGGGTATGTTCTCAAATTAATTGGACATATGATATCTTTCTAGACATTGGAGGATTTCGAAATTATTTAATGAGAGAACATATCTTTGTTTTTTTCCATAAAAATAATGTTATGACAACTTTTGGACTTTGAGGAATATTTCTAATTTCCTTAGACGTTAAAAAATTTTGAGGTGTTCTAAAGAGTAGTAAGTTCTCAGGTTTAGCATGATTCATAAAAATCGAGGTGTCTTCTCGAATGGGATTAGATCTCAATATTTTTCTAGACGTTGGGGAATGCTCGAGATCACCCAAGAAAGACGTCACTTGTGAATTTTTCACAGATTAATTTATGATTTTTTAGGGTTTTCGAGCATAATTTTGATTCTCTTAGTCGTTAGAGAATTTGAAGCTATTCTCGAGAAAATAAAAATTCTTTATTAATTGAAAATACATTAATCACATGCATAGATCGGGATAAAATATTCGTGACCAAGTAAGTGTCGTTTTTACAGACGTTGTGAGGGTGCTAACACTTCCTCACATATAACCGTGCCCTCAAACTCAATTATGGTTTTCGTAGACCCTAAACTTATTTAGTATTCCAATATCACCTTAAATCAATTGGCGGCGACTCTCAACATTTTGAAGTACGAAACTAATTTTTTTATTCATCGGGTAAAAAAAATGGTGTGTACATTGTCCCTAAATATATAAGGTAAATTTATATTATTTTTTAGGTCGAGTCTGATATTTTTTACCCTAAACTTGAACCTGACCCGAACATATTTTCTAGAAAAGTCTGACTTGAAAACCGATTTTTTTTATAAAAAAAATTAACCCTTTCAAATCGGATTGAGTTGGAACCGTCAGGTTGAGTATCGTGCTCAACCCTAGTATGATTCCTAAAAGAGAATATTGTAAAGCAAAAGGAAGTAGCGTGGACAAAAGGTAGGCGCCAACCCCATTTCATTTGTTTTCATCCCCAGAAAGAAGACTCAAGGAGTTGAAGAACATGCGTAGTTGTTTTCATTTTATTGGAAACATTTTGAACCACAGAAGGGGCCGTAGCCCCATGTCCGCAACTTGGATGGTAAAGGGCAGAGCCCATTTTACTCTGCCGGCGTCGGAACATCAACACGTACGCATGTATGTGGCCCTGACGTATAGTACTAAATTGTAACCATAACATAGTATAACGACCATATCGTAACTACTTTTAAGGATAACATCGTAAATTATATCTGTAACATAAAATCATAATTTTTTTTATGAAATAAATCACGTCGTAACATTCGTAACTGTAATTGTAATAATGTAGTAGCAGCCATGATTGTGCAAAAGCAACTGGAGAGAGAGAGAGAGAGAGAGCTGGGTTATATGTAACACAGTCACAGTGACATAAAATCGAACGCCTGGTGGGCGGTCCCCTGATACATGATCCTCAAATTCCACTCTAACGTGAATCTCTCGGTGCCTGTCTGTTTCATTTGTAGGGTACAGGCAAAAAGTGCTCGTAAAATAGGTCTCTTGGTACAATCTGTACTGAAATTATTATTTAAAAGAAAACCCAGTAGATTAAAACTACATAAAATCATAATAGAATTTACTCAAATTAAAACTACAATTAACGAAATGTTAAAGAATTTAATTAAGTTCTTTATCAAAAATTTTAGGGAGTTTTAATATTTATTTTCTCAATAGTTTTTTTTAGCAGAGTTTTAATACTTTTTTAAGCAACTATTTTTTTGGTACGAAGTGATTATAAAATAATATTTAGTCGATTTTCTTTTAATTAATTGACAATTTTTTGTAAGTGTTGTGCTTAAATATGAGACTTTTGGAAATAACAATCATTTCTTAATCGTTAGGTGACCTGATTTGTGCACGTTAAAATTAATTCAAGTTTTCATGTTAGGTTTGATACAAAAATAAGTGTCTAAACTATACTTAAAATTGACTTTTGGTGTCTAAAGAATTTTTTCTTAAAAATAGTTGTCTAACAATTTCTCTGTTACAGTTTTAGGTACCTACCGTTAACAAAAATTGTTCAGCGACACGTGTTATGTTTATATTTTTTTGAATTTTTTAAAATAAAATATTATTTATAAAGTTTTTTTTTAAAAAAAAATCTAAACGTGACACATGTCACATAACGAGTTTTTTTAACGGTAGACACTTAAAAGTGTAACAAAGAAAATGCTATACACCTATTTTTAACGAAATTTTTTTAAGCATCAAAAGTCAATTTTAAATATAGTTTGGACTCTTTTTTTTTGTATAGCATGACAAGCTTCTTGCCTAGGGATGACAGATGGATACAATTTCGCGGATTTCGCTCCATAGCCGCTCTAATTGGAACGGGAATGGATATAAGTTTAGTGGGTAGTGGGTGGGTGTTGATGTAAAAAGGCATATCTATCGTGTGTAGTGGGTAAGCGATGAGTTTGAGACCTTACTTGCCTTGCATCCGCCCAACATGTAAATTTTATACCATTATGAATTTAAGTATAATTTCAAAGATTATTATATAAATCTTAATATTTTATAGGACATAACTTGTAATTTAATCAAATGTTAGGGTATAAACATTTTTAGAATTGAAGACCGCCGATTCTCCTATCCCAAATTGATGGGTATGAGAGGGTACAAACTGATACAAGATGAGTGGTTAGTATCTAGTTAAGTAGTAAGTGTGCTAATAGATTTGAGAATATATTCACGTGAATAAATATAAATATTTTACCTGTCATAGGTCATTGGTAAATGTTGAATATAAAAATATTATATAAGTACGAAGATAAGGACAGGGATAAGGACAGGGATAAGGATAGGGATAGGGATAGGGAAATCCGCAAACGTCTTGCCATATCTGTGCCCATGAGTATAATAGATTGGCATTTGCCAATGACCAAATGTGGAGTTCTTTTTATGGGCCTTATAATGGATGTCGATTTTGGGCTTTTTGTTTGTTAAATCAGTGAAAGGCAAAAGACTAACCTGTTTCTTAAACCCTAAAATATAAAACCCTAAACGCCTAGAAGGTTCTATCATCCACTAGATCTAGACCCCCTCCCCAGCCAAGATATCGCACATCAAATTCACCTGCTCCGTCTTGAATTTGCCAGGAAACTCTTAAGGAATTTCAGACTAATTTTGAAAATGGCGAAGCGTTTGATTCCAACTCTTAACAGAGTTCTTGTCGAGAAAATCCTTCCGCCTTCCAAGACCACCGCCGGCATTCTCCTGCCGGAGAAATCCACCAAGGTAGTTTCTCTCATTTCAATTCCTTTCTCCTTTTTATTCCTTTTCTTCAAATCTCATTTAATGATTATCTTTGATCCGATTGACTGGTCGGAAAATAGCTGAACTCCGGGAAAGTGGTGGCCGTGGGTCCGGGAGCAAGGGACAAGGAAGGAAAACCGACCCCGGTTCCTTTTAAAGAAGGCGACACTGTTCTTTTACCTGAATTTGGTGGTTCCCAAGTCAAGCTTGGCGACAAAGAGTACGTTCATCGAGCTCTCTTTATTTTAGTTTTATCATTATGATTTTGTTTTGGTTTGATAAGTTAAATCATTTCCGGGAGTTCTATTTGCAGGTTTCATCTGTACAGAGATGAAGATATTTTGGGTACTCTCCATGATTGATCGATTGAAATGGGGCATTAGCTTTGTTTTTATGTTTGTGTTGTTCTAGGGTTTTTGAGGATTAATCAAACTGGATGGAACTTATTAACCATCTTTATTTGGTTCAAAATCATAAATCAGTTCATCAATCGAAGAATTTTCCATTGAATTGAGACATTATATCTGGGTTCAATCTGGCTTCTTCTTCCTTTATAATTGGTTCTAATCCATAATCAACTGGGAGTCAGTATGATATCGCATAAATAAGAGTTTAGATTCGAATCCTTATATCTAAAAAATATTAAATTTAGATTAGTTAATTAATTGATTAATAGATTAAATATCTATAATCGTATTAAAAATATAAATGTTATTATATGATATATCGTGTGTCCTGATCAATTTATAATTTTTGTAAAAAGTTTTGAATGAAAAATATGTTATATACTATATGGTCTAAAGATTTGATTTGGATATTTTGATGTTTAGGATCAAATTTAAACTGGGGTAAAAGTTTAGAGGTGTATAGTGAATTAACCCACATGCACATTTTCCCTTCTTCTTCCCCAGTCTCTCCCTACGAAAGCACCACGTACACGTTTTCTCCTTAGCCTCTGTTTTATTCAATTGCATGCAATCAACGCATACATTTCCTCTCTACTTTCTCTCTTCTTATATTTACGACGTGGAAAATTAATTAAAAAAAAAAAAGCAAACACATTCAAAAGCTTTCATCTTCCTCTATGATGTAGTCACGAGGAAGAAAGAAGAGCAGAGGAACTGATTTTCGTTTATTTTAGCCATTTTCGGGTGTTTTTTTGTTCTTCAAATGCACCCCAAAACAGGTTACCTAATAGCGGCCAAAGCTCCCCGTCGCCTCCGGCGTCACCAGTACAGCCACCGAAGTACCACCACGGTAGGAAGTCGGGTAGGTTCAGCCGGTTCCAACCGGAGCGACCTCAGCCCATCGTCTCTCTTGGTTACTTCTCTATGTTCTTCTTCGTCGACAACGGATTTTCCTCGTTGTTCCTCTCGTTTATATCTCCGGGATGTTTCTCTACACGGGCACCGCTTCCGTTGATGTCGTTCCCGTCGTTAGACACAAGCCCTCGCCCGGCTCCGTTCACCGGAGTCCCCAGGTCTACGATAAACTTAGAGTTTATATGAATGCCGATAAATCTTCTGCTGACGCCGTGAGTCTCTGCTTTCTGATTTGTTCTTTTATCAGCCCATCGTCTCTTGGTTACTTCTCTATGTTCTTCTTCGTCGACAACGGATTTTCCGTTGTTCCTCTCGTTTATATCTCCGGGATGTTTCTCTACACGGGCACCGCTTCCGTTGATGTCGTTCCCGTCGTTAGACACAAGCCCTCGCCCGGCTCCGTTCACCGGAGTCCCCAGGTCTACGATAAACTTAGAGTTTATATGAATGCGATAAATCTTCTGCGGCCGTGAGTCTCTGCTTTCTGAGTGTTCTTTTATACATAATTATATATATATATATATATATATATATATTGTTTGCCGTGATGGGTTGGTTTTTTTTGTTGAATTATTCTGGATTTTTAGCTTTTTGTATGATTTGTCTTTCCTTCTGGGTTTGATCTTGATAGAATTTTGAGGAACTTAGACAATATGAATGATTTATCCAAATTCAGGGAAACAGTAGAAACACAATGATTAATTAATGAATCAATTTTAACATTTAGAAAAGAAATTTGTTTTTCACAATTGTGCTCTTAGACACTAGGCAGTAGACCCTTGTGTCGTGCTGTAACTGCTTCATTTCCAGCTGCAACAATCTTTTTGATCAAAACGTTGGTCCAAAAAACATGGAAAGCTGCATTTTAAATTGCTTTTGGAGAGTCACTTATGATGCTGATCCATGGTTTGTGATTATATCTGCCCTGAACATATTGGATTTCTTGTAGATTTCGACTGTTTGGAGAAATTCCCATAGAGGGGGGCTGTGGAGACCTTGTGTAAACAAGTCCTCTGAAGGTATGAATTTATTCTCATTATCTTATGGTAAGCGATTCGGTGAAAAATGTTTCTGTTAAAGGTGTGTGAATAGCATATTCCATACCTGCACCTGTGTCATTGTTGGTTTTGCCAAAGCTGTTGAGTCTAAGTAACAGAGTTTGAGATTGTTATTTCAAGGAAAAGCATATTCCTAGTATGAGTGAGAACCTCAGGAGCTTCATTAACCTGTTAGTGTAAATGTTCCATTCCTGGTGCTTTGCACATTTGAAGTGTTTGTTATGTTTATGCATATGTGCTCATGCATGCTTTATGTTCATATGCACTAGTATGCTTTTGGTTGTTGGCTATCTTCATTAGTTTTAGATTTGGCTGTACTATGATGTTAATTTATATTTTCCTCTACATGGTTGCTTTGGATGCTATGTAGATTTGCAATGCAGTTGCTGTGGCAGGTTATCTTAATGCGACACTTCTAATCCCTAATTTCCATTTTCATAGCATATGGAGAGATCCCAGGTTTGTTAGCATTTATTTTCAGTTGGCATGTTGTTTGTGTATCCTCAAGGAAAAAAGATGGGCTCTTTAGGCTTTTCTTATTATCAAATTAGAGGGACATAAAATTTTTCAGGAGAGTGCTAAAATGGAAAGAGAAATGAAATGAAATGTTTTATAGTTTTAACAATTTCTTAGGTGGTGAAGAATTGTTAAAATGTTTTTCCTCAAATTTTCATTGAACCGAAACATAGTTTTGATTTTCCATTTTCTCAGTTCATTTACCTCATTTGTATTTTTTATAATCATTTCTTTCTTCATGCATTACTCTTGTTACTTATAAACATTTCCTTTTTTGGTAGAACCACCGGTATCCAATCCATTGGCTGACTAATCATTTTGTTATCGCATTGACTGAATCCCATATGTTGTTTCTGCTTTTCCAGCAAATTCAAAGACATCTATGATGAAGAGTATTTCATCAGTATATTAAAGAATGATGTACGAGTTGTTGATAAGATTCCTAACTACATAATGGAACGATTTGACAACAATTTGACCAATGTTTTCAACTTCAGAATCAAAGCATGGTCATCCATTCGGTTTTACAAGGAAGTAGTCCTACCAAAGCTGCTTGAAGAAAAGTGAGTCTTGACCATTTACTGTACCATAACTATTTTGTTTGCTTAAGGTTTAGCTTGTTTAATTGAGTGCCAAATGGTGGATATAGACATTATTGTATTGTTTTCTTAATTTAGGATATTGGTTTTCTGATTGAATGACACAGGGTAATAAAGATTTCTCCTTTTGCAAACCGCTTGTCGTTTGATGCGCCTCCTGCTGTCCAAAGACTCAGATGCTTGGCAAATTATGAAGCTTTACGGTTTTCGAGTCGCATACTAAATCTCGGAGAAACTTTGGTTTTGAGAATGAAAGAATGCAGTGCAAACAGCGGTGGCAAATATCTTTCTGTCCATCTTCGCTTTGAGGAGGTTAGTATTGTTTTAATAGAAAATGTGTTTATGAAGATTGATGACCTTTCTTAACATAAAAAAGGACTTCTGTTATGACTTTTAGTAGCAGAAATTTATCAATTCCATTTTCTGTAAGTAGAATATACTCTTTTCTTACGCAGGATATGGTTGCTTTCTCTTGTTGTGTATTTGATGGTGGGGAACTAGAAAAGGAAGACATGATAAGAGCCAGGGAAAGAGGCTGGAAAGGAAAATTTACGAAACCTGGTCGAGTTATACGCCCCGGAGCAATCAGGATTAATGGGAAATGCCCACTTACTCCTTTGGAGGTATTGTCAGTTGACATTTGTTGTTTAAATAAAGTTTTTCAAATGAAAATTTTACTGGGGTAATCTCTTCCTGTTGCAATTTTCTGCTCGACTTTGATCAGAAGTCATCATGACATTCATGAGCATTACATGCCCCCAAGATTGTTCATATGAATCAGTGATGGTTAATTTCACATTTGGTTGAACCTATTAGATTGGATTGATGCTTAGAGGAATGGGATTCGATAACCATACTTATATCTTTTTGGCTTCTGGGAAGATATACAATTCCGAGAAAACGATGGCTCCATTGTTGGAAATGTTCCCAAACTTGCAAACGAAGGAGATGCTGGCATCAGAGGAAGAACTTGCTCCATATAAGGTCAGAAGCATAAATAGAAATTAACCACATTTTCTTTGCGAGTCCTTCGGTAATGGGGCTTTGAGATTGGACTTTTTATCATCTCTTCGACTTGGATTGTTGCTTTCAGAGATTTTCTTCCAGGATGGCTGCCATAGACTATACTGTTTGCCTTCATAGCGAGGTCTTCGTGACGACTCAAGGTGGGAATTTTCCTCATTTCCTGATGGGCCACAGAAGGTACTTGTACGGAGGACATTCGAAGACTATTCGACCAGACAAGCGATGGTTGGCACTGCTATTCGATAACCCGAATATCGGGTATGTATTTACCTTTTCTTCTTTTAACTGTTTTATAGACGGGCGATACTATTAGGGATAATGTCTGCAATCTTCGGAATACGATTTGGAACTTTAGCAGCTAGATGAACATGAAGAAATGCATGTCGAAACAGTCTTGTCATTCATTTTACATTTGATGCTTTTGAAAAACATCCGTATGGCAATCGAGGGAAGGCTGCTATGCTCTATAATGGAACGTGTATAATCATGCAGGTGGAGAGCTTTCAAGCGACAAATGCTGAACATGCGGTCTCATAGTAACACAAAGGGAGTTGAACTTAAAAGGCCCAACGATTCGATATATACCTTCCCGTGCCCGGATTGCATGTGTCGAATAAACAGAACGGTAAAAGCAAGATCGTCATCGGCTGCGTAATCTTCTCTCGGAGGATATCGACGGGTGAATGTGTCTTGTTCTTGCAAACAAACATAGTTACAAACACATCTTCCTTTTAATCCTCTTCATGTGGTAAGAGTGCATACAACTCGAATTTGGGAGCTCAGAGGAACCTTTTTTTTACAGAGGTCAAATTGTATACATTGATCAGAGAACAAAAGGCGATGATTTTGCCATCGGAGGGACGACCGGAGAGTGTTGCTGCACCGGGATCTAACAAACTGTTAACAACACATTGTGTTTGCTATTTCTCATATTCAATTCTGTGAAGGGTCTCTATTATTAGTCCCTATTTCGTGAATTGGTTTGCTGTTTATTTTTAATCATATAAGAACTAAAATTAAACTAATTTGGATTTGATCAGTGATCCTTTAAATATTATAAATTTATTAAATTTTTGTAAAAATAAATTTATTGATAAGAAAATAAATTACATTATATTATATTGATCACTATGATTTTTCGACAATAGAAAACCCAAAAGTAAATTAATTTATTTTTCGTTAATCAAATATCAAAATTAGAAAAACGTTTATAAAAAATTAAGGACAAACTATGCGTTTAGTATCTAAATTATCAATTTTAGTTCGTTTTAGTATTTAAACTTTCATATATATTTTTTCAAAATTATACCTAAAGCTTAATTTTTCTTTCATTTTAATATCTTGCCGTAAAAAACATAACGGATAAAGCCAATACTTTCCAACCCACACCTTTTCTACCCTGAATGTGATTTCAATCTCTGTTTCACCGGAAAATGTTTCAATCTTCCCAAATCAACGATGCACTATTCGGTTTCTTAATTCTCCAATCTCCATCTCCACCGTTCGATAGGCCTAAAACTAGACTATATTGGTCGATTAATCATTTTTTCGTGGTTTGTTAGTCAGATTGATCGTCCGTCCATCAAAGTTAGGCAATATCAACCTGTCCGTTAGGTTTTTTTAACGATGAGTATCAAAATAAAACACAAATTAAACGTTAGATATAATTTAAAAATAAAATAAAATATTAAAACAGATCAAAGCTCATAATTTAATAAAAAAAACATGTAGTTTATCCAAAAATTAATTACAGCATAACAAACCTACTTTTACTACGTGCACACTATAAAACCACTTTACAGTCCTCTGTCTGAAGAACCAAAAGCAACCGCCATGGGAATCGTTGGAAATCTCACTCCACAGCAGCGCCAGTCTTTCGACTCTCAAGATCAACGCCACTGCTGCTTTGAAAAAAATATTTCCTTTTCAAATTCGATGATGCCATTGGGTTCTTTAGAACTCTGTTCTTCAATGATCAATTTCAAAATTCTACGTGTGTTAAAAGTCAAATAATTTAGGCACTAAATTAGACACTAAATGATGCTTTGTCAAAGTCAAAAATTAGGCACCTAATTTTTGTTGAAATTGGGTAATAGAATAATTAATTTTAGTCATTGTAATTTAAGGTATTTATAAGATTAGTCCTTAAGTTTCAACTATAAATACCCTAGCTCATATAGCTTCAAAATCATCCCAAATCATTCTAGCTTTCTTCTAATACTAGAGAGAATTTAGAGAGTTTCTTGAGAGTTGTTTTTTCCTTTTTATCAAGAGAGAATTATCATTGTTTTCTCCTTGGTAGATCGAGAGAAGTTGAAATTCCTATTTTCTCATAGTGAAATTCTTCTATCGTTGCCCGTGGTTTTTACCCTATATTATTCAGGGGTTTTCCACGTAAACTTTGTGTCTCTTTTATCTTCATTTTTATTTTCTCAAATTATCGGTTGCGATTTTGCTCTATCCGATAGCTGTCTTCCTCAACAATTGGTATCCGAGCTAGATTAGAGTGTGTAATATCTGCTTATTGTCTTTGTGGTTGCCACCAAAAGGTGGATCCTCCAACATAAGAAAATAAGAAGGTATTACCCATTCTTTGAGGTTCTAGAGAACTATTCATGATAGTGAAATAGTGGGAGCTTTCCGTAAACGAAGCAATGACAACGAAATTTGATATTGAAAAGTTCAATGGGAGAAATTTCTCATTATGGAAATTGAAGATGAAAGCCATCCTGAGGAAAGACGGTTGTCTAGCAGCTATCAATGAAAGGCCAGTAGATTTCACAGAAGACAACAAATGGATCGAAATGGACGAAAATACTATGGCAAACTTTCATCTAGCATTAGCAGATGAAGTATTGTCAAGTATCGAGGAGAAGAAGACATCTAAGGAGATATGGGATCATCTCACCAAATTGTACGAGGCCACATCGTTGCACAATAAAATTTTCCTTAAGAGGAAATTGTACACTCTTCGGATGTCAGAATCTACTTTAGTGACGGAGCACTTAAACACACTGAACACTTTATTTTCTCAGCTTACATCCTTAAGCTGTAAAATAGTAGAACAAGAACGTGCTGAACTTCTATTTCAAAGTCTACCGGATTCGTATGATCAACTCATCATCAACTTGACAAACAATAATGTCACCAGTCTAGTCTTCGATGACGTTGCAGCTGTTGTTCTACAATAACAAAATCGGCGCAAGAACAAGGAAGACAGACAAGTAAATCTGCAACAAGCAGAAGCGTTGACAACGACGAGAGGGAGATCAACAGAACGTGACCAAAGCAGCAGTCACAAACATGGTAGATCAAAGTCGATGAGCAAGAAGAATTTAAAGTGCTACAACTGTGGAAAGAAGGGTCACTTGAAGAAGGATTGTTGGAGTCTAAATAAAAACTCCAATCCACAAGGTAATACCGCAAACACTTCAGATGATGGAGATGCACTATGCTGTGAAGCGTCAACCACCGTGGAAGGAAGAAAAAGATTTGCAGATATATGGCTCATTGATTCAGGAGCAACATATCACATGACCTCAAGAAGAGAATGGTTTTATCAGTATGAACATGTCTCAGGAGGATCTGTGTATAGTTGCAATGATCATGCCTTAGAGATCATTGGCGTGGGAACCATCAAATTGAAGATGTATGATGGAACAATTAAAGTTGTTCGAGATGTGCGTCACGTGAAAGGCCTAAAGAAAAATTTATTATCCTACGGATTGTTGGATAATAATGCAAGCAAGATTGAAACATGGAAAGGAATCATGAAGGTGTTCCGTGGAGCGCTTGTGGTGCTGAAAGGCGAAAAGATAGCATAAAACTTGTACATGATGAAGGGAGAGACTTTGCTAGAAGCAGAGCCTCTGTTGCCTCATGTAGTTCAGATTCTACAATGCTATGGCATCATAAACTTGGACACATGTCAGAACAAGGAATGAAAGTCCTTGTGGAGCAAAAGCTACTTCCCGGCTTAACAAAGATATCACTTCCTTTGTGTGAGCATTGTATAACAAGTAAGCAGCACCGGTTGAAATTCAACACGTCAAATTCTAGAGGCAAAAATGTTCTAGAATTGGTTCATTCTGACGTATGGCAAGCACCAGTTACATCCCTAGGTGGAGCAAAATACTTTGTCTCATTTATTGATGACTACTCTAGGAGATGTTGGATGTATCCTATTAAGAAGAAGTCAGATGTGTTTTCAACTTTCAAAATCTTCAAAGCGCGGGTGAAACTTGATTCTGGAAATAAGATCAAGTGTTTCAGAACAGATAATGGAGGAGAATACACAAGCGAAGAATTTGATTACTTTTGCAGGAAAGAATGCATCAAAAGACAGTTCACAATGGCAAACACTCCTCAACAAAATGGAGTGGCAGAGCGGATGAACATAACCTTATTAGAAAGAACAAGAGCAATGTTGAGGGATGCAGGCCTAGAAAAATCATTCTGGGCAGAAGCAGTCAATACCGCTTGTTATTTGGTGAATCGAGCTCCATCAACTGCAATAGAGCTGAAGACACCAATGGAGATGTGGACTGGTAAACCATCTAATTATTCAAACCTCCATATATTTGGAAGTATTGTGTACGTGATGTACAACTCCCAAGAAATCTCAAAGCTGGATCCAAAATCCAGGAAATGCAAATTCTTGGGGTATGCTGATGGAGTCAAGGGGTATCGCTTGTGGGATCCCACTGCCCGCAAAGTGATCATCAGCAGGGATGTTATCTTTGTAGAAGATAAGCTACAAAGAAAAGAAGAAGATGGTAGCGCTGAAAAGTCAGAGACTACGCAGATACATGTGGAAAAAGAGTTTGAACAAGGAGATTCTTCTGAAGCAGAACCAACACATGATAAACAAGAACCAGAGAGTTCTGAAGCTCCAACAACTCGTCAATCAGATCGTGTGAGAAGATGTCCCAATTGACACTCAGATTATGTTATAGAAGGTAATATTGCATACTGCCTTTTAACAGAGGACGGTGAGCCATCAACATACCAGGAGGCAATAAACAACTCAGATGCTTCACTGTGGATGATGGCAATGCAAGAAGAAATCGAAGCCCTTCATAAAAATAATACATGAGACCTTATGCCACTACCACAAGGAAGGAAGCCAATTGGTAACAAATGGGTTTTCAAAATCAAGCGAAATGGTGACGATCAAGTGGAGAGGTATCGTGCAAGACTGGTGGTCAAAGGATATGCTCAGAAAGAATGTATTGATTTCAATGAATTTTTTTCTCCTGTGGTTCGACTAACAACAGTTCGAGTAGTCTTGACAATGTGTGCTATATTGAACTTACATCTAGAGCAACTAGATGTTAAAACATCTTTTCTTCATGGAAATCTTGAAGAATAGATTTACATGCTCCAGCCTGAAGGTTTTGAAGAAAAAGAAAAGAAGAACTTGGTTTGCAAGTTGAACAAATCTATGTACGGTCTAAAGCAGGCGCCGAGGTGTTGGTATAAGAGATTTGATTCCTTCATTATGTGCCTTGGATACAACAGACTTAATGCAGACCCTTGTGCTTATTTCAAGATGTCTGTTGATAACGATTTTGTTATATTGCTGTTGTATGTGGATGACATGTTGGTTGCAGGACCCAACAAAGATCATATTGACGAATTGAAGGCACAACTGGCTAGAGAATTTGAAATGAAGGACTTGGGATCAGCAAACAAGATTCTAGGGATGCAAATTCATCGAGACAGAAGTAATAGGAAGATTTGGCTTTCACAAAAGAATTACTTGAAGAAGATCTTGTCACGATTCAACATGCAATATTGTAAGCCAATTTCTACCCCTCTTCCTATTAACTTCAAATTATCCTCCAGTATGAGTCCTAGCAGTGAAGAAGAGAGGATGGAGATGTCTCGAGTACCGTATGCATCAGCAGTGGGAAGTTTAATGTTCGCTATGATATGCACAAGACCAGACATTGCACAAGCAGTGGGAGTGGTTAGTCGGTACATGGTGAATCCAGGCAAAGAGCATTAGAATATTGTAAAGAGGATCCTAAGATACATCAAAGGGACCTCAAATGTTGCATTATGTTACGGAGGATCAAACTTACTTATAAATGGGTATGTCAATTCTGACTATGCAGGGGATTTGGATAAAAGCAAATCTACTACAGGATATGCGTTCAAAATTGCTGGTGGAGCTGTAAACTGGGTTTCAAAATTACAGTCAATTGTGGCTACATCCACAACAGAGACAGAATATGTAGCAGCTACACAAGCCAGTAAAGAAGCAATTTGGTTGAAGATGCAATTGGAGGAGCTTGGGCACAATCAAGAGTATGTCTCTCTGTTTTGTGACAGTCAAAGCACCTTGCATCTAGCAAGGAATCCAGCATTTCATTCAAGGACAAAACACATACGAGTTCAGTATCATTTCATTCGTGAAAAGGTGGAAGAAGGGACAGTAGATATGCATAAGATCCATACCAAAGACAACATAGCAGATTTCATGACGAATGAGATCAACGCTGATAAATTTACCTGGTGTCGATCCTCCTGTGGCCTGTCAGAAACGTAAGCAACATGAAGGTACAAGGTAGAAAGAATGGTGTGAAGATATGATTATTCCAATCAAATCTTCAAGTGGGAGATTGTTAAAAGTCAAATAATTTAGGCACCAAATGGTGCTTTGTCAAAGTCAAAAATTAGGCACCTAATTTTTGTTGAAATTGGGTAATGGGATAATTAATTTTAGTCATTGTAATTTAGGGTATTTATAAGATTAGTCCTTAAGTTTCAAATATAAATACCCTAGCTCATATAGCTTCAAAATCATCCCAAAGCATTCTAGCTTTCTTCTAATACTAGAGAGAATTTAGAGAGTTTCTTAAGAGTTGTTTTCGCTTCAAAATCATCTCAAAGCATTCTAGCTTTCTTCTAATACTAGAGAGAATTTAGAGAGTTTCTTGAGAGTTGTTTTCTCATTTTTATCAAGAGAGAATTATCATTGTTTTCTCCTTGGTAGATCGAGAGAAGTTGAAATTCCTATTTTTTCATAGTGAAATTCTTCTACCGTTGCTTGTGGTTTTTACCCTATATTATTCAGAGGTTTTCCACGTAAATTTTGTGTCTCTTTTATCTTCATTTTTATTTTCTCAAATTATCAGTTGCGATTTTGCTCTATCTTATAGCCGTCTTCCGCAACAAATCTCACTCCACATCAGCACCAGTCTTTCGACTCTCAAGATCAACGCCACTGCTACTTTGAAAAAAATATTTCCTTTTCAAATTCGATGATGCCATTGGGTTCTTTAGAACTCTGTTCTTCAATGAATCAATTTCAAAATTCTGCGTGTGTGTGAGTTTTGCAGGTTTTATTGTGATTGAATCATTTTCGAGCCCTTAAGAAGTCGAAGTTATGAGGAAAAGAACGGACGAATTGCTTCAGGACTTCGACCCCACCACCACCGCTTCTATCTTCTCCACCAATTGTAATATGATTTAACATTCTTTAGTTGTAACTATAAATTTTGATAGTTTCTCAATATGGGTTTTGTTTTTTAGTTAAAATTGATCAATGAATACTTCTATGAAAGAGCTGAAAATATCTCCTTTTTTAGTTAAATTAAGCTTTCTCTAAATTTTAGGAATTTCAATGGCAGTGAGGTTGCTCAAATCATGTATTTTGTTGAATACTGAAATTCGAGTTGTTGTACTAGTATCTGACCCTTTTTGACCGAACCAGGTATAGGAGGTGAAGTAACTCCTCAGCAGGACAACTCATTTCTTTATACCGAACCTCGGACTTGCACTGGCCTGTGGCTCGCTCTAGAAGATGCAACGGTTGTACTTCCCGTCATCTGCAAACTTTTGAAGTATATAGATTATGCCCTATTTTGATCTTCTCTGGTTCTCGTTTCGAGATGGTCTTGTTAGAAGGTTCATTAGGGGTGATGATGGAGTTTACTTTGATAAGCCCTCACCATCATCATATGACCAGAAAGATTTTGTGCCTACTGAAGTGAAAGCTGGGCCTTTGGTCATAATCCATGGTGATCTTATTCATCAAAGGTTAGTTTAAAGATCCATAGTAAGAGTTCGTCCGGCTTGACGACATAGTATCTTAACGGTACGGCTTGCATGTGGTAGATACCGATGGATGCAAGTGGGCAGAAGATAATTGGCAAGTAATTAGAACACTTATGTGTATCTTCTCCATAGATGCAAAAGGATAGAGATGCTCTTTGTTTATTCTTTATCATGATCAAGAAAAGAACTAATTATAGTGTCCTGTAGTTATCTGGAGGAGATATGGATGTGGTTTATGTGATGATTGATCGTTTTTTTTTCACTCGGATCATTTTTCACCCTTTTGGTATCCGAAGAAAAGTCGAGCCGGAACCCCTTTACGCTTCTTGATCATATAGGATAATGCTCATTGTGTTATGTTTACTTGGACGCGAGTGTCGGATATTTGCATGTATCCGACATGGATGTGTTCATTTTTTAGAGGATTTTGGAAAGGCATTGAACAATGATAATTTTGATGCATAAAAGTTTATGATCCAATGCATACTTAGAGTATATAGTTTATTCGGATTCGAGACCTTATCTAAGCGACATCGAGCTTATGAATTTTCAAAATCAATGGTATACCAATAATTGCATAGAGTTAAGAGTGTAAATGAATCGAATTTAAATGAAAAAAAATTATGTTTGCATTTATTTATTTATTCTTAAAAGTATTGGTGTTTGGTTCGTGTTCTATTTAACATCCGCGAATGTTTGGCAACCATCATTCTTCTTTTACTTATCTATTTAAGCTAAAGAAAAATGGTGAAATTGTGCAACTGGTCCTTAAATTTCTTAGATATCACAATTTGAACTCTAAAATTTACCTTATGTTCAATTTAATCTCTACCTTTGTCAATATTGAAAATGTGAATATTAAATGGAAAATGAGAACAGAGTAAAGAAGCTTATAAATGAGTCAACAAATGAATTTATTCGTGAACATAAATGAATCGAACACACATTTATTCGTGTTCGTTTATTTATTAAGCAAAGATAAAAAATTGTTCATATTTGTTTAACTTTATAAATGAATGTTTTACGAACATTATAGGATTGATTCATGAACCAATGGTTTTGTTCATTTACAAGCCTATACAAAGTATGGACTTGAAAGAAAAAGAAAATGCTAATGGATTCGGATCTGAGCTCTCATCTTTATTGAAAAATGGGTCTACAAGTACCACTACCAGTCTACCTCTGCAAACAGATTTTGAACGAATCCCACTACCATCATCCACCAACTGTTCCACTCAGCTCAATTTTCCCATCTTTTTTTTTCTGAGATTGGTCATGGTTGACTAGAACAAAAAAGAAACACAAAGGACAATACCCTTAGCTTCCCCATTTATGGCCATTTCCAATTAATGCTGTCTTCATTGGACTTTCTCGGCAATACGCGCTTTCTTTCTAGATTTCTTTGTATATTTTCCTTTGCTTTTTGCTGTGCTTGTTTCATACCCCTGCAGACATTCAGCTGCACAAGTTTCAGTGAAACTTTCAATTGGCATCTTTCTTTTATCTATTATCATGTTCTAAGTTAAAGCTTATTTTGTTGGGGATTGTATGAACATGCCTGGGTATTTCAGGTTATGAAAGGACAAAACTTGTAGCAGGTGTGTCATCGAGTTCAATTCTGCCTTCTGTTTTTTCACCTTTCACTGGTAAAAGAACAGTAATCACCAAATTTTACAGGTCAGATAGATACATAATGCAAGAAATATAAGACCAATGTATTTGGTTAATCGAGTCGAGTTGGATCGAACTCTTAAACAAGATCGGACTTCTTATGTGTAGCATTTAATTCCCCGGGAATATATGGCAATTGAACATACATGAGAAGAACAAAAGTTATTACTGACATAAACCTGGAAACCCCACCAAATATACGCTGTTCAAGTATTAGGTCTTATTACCATCAACTCTTTTCACATCTTTCTTCTGTTCTATCTCTCGTTCATTCTTGTAATTGTTCTGTGAGTTTTTTTGCGTATGAAACCATGGACAACACTGTCAACAAAGAAGAAACTCAATATGGTCCAATATGTGTTTTTTAAGGCAAAGAAACCCAAAAATTAACTACAAGTCCTTGTCTTCACAGTTGCACCATGCGTGACAGACACAGAATGAAACAGTCTCTCCCTCACAAAAAAACAAAACTAACAACAGGCTTAACTGTTAAGTTTTAACCATAAACTCAAATGGAAAAAAACTAGTATTTAATTGCTGCAATCTGTTGCCCACATGCTAAAGCTTAGCTAATAGCTACTACAGTACCCAGTACCCACCCCGTGTTCTTGTTCAGTTCTTCAGAGGAAGAAACTCGAAATACTGTATTGTTGTTGTTGTAGTAGTTATGGCTGTGATGGGTACTTCATTGTGGCCGATATTAATGGCGGTTCCAAGGGGAAACAGCTCGAGGGTCTGCTCTTTTCTGTTTTCTTCTTCGAGTGTGGTAGTATTTTCTTGGTGGGGTTTCGGTAGACATAAATATCCAGTGTCCGATGAAGCGGTCGCCGAAAAAGACAGCTCCAAGCGTAGTTCCTTGTCGTGAATTTGCATCCACTCGTTTCCTCCACTTTTTGCAGTTCCATGCATTGATATGAGACCCTAAAAGAATGGTCAAAGAGATGATTAAACTAAAGTGGGATTGCAAAAAATGGAGGATTGAGTGAATGCAAATTCATAAAACAACAGCGAAGTAAAAGAATGCAGCTTTTAAACCTCTTCTTCGCCCATAATCTATGATCTATCCAACATTTATGTATAAATATCACTTTCAGCATGAAAACGAAGACAAAAAAAATGTATAGACAACAAACCTCTGAAAGTTTACATATGTTTGAAGGAGAAGCCTTGTTGCAGCTCAACAAAATTACTGGTAAAAGCAGAAGAAATTCGTTACTTATATCTTTGAAAACATGCATATATGTTTAAAATCTATGTATATAGGTTTACCTGCTGATTCCTTCTTCTCCAAGCTATCGGCATCACACTGTTGCTGTTCATCGGGAGTCACACTGATCAGTTGACGGCGGCGTTTTTGACGTTCTCTTGCTTTATGGTTTTGGAACCAGTAGAAAACGTTCTTCCCTTCGATCTTCCCGAACCGCTGAAGCCGCGCCGCGATTTGTTGGATTTGCGCCGCCGACGGCGTCCGTGTCCCGCGTCGATAGAGTTCCTCGAGTGCCAGTAGCTGCTCCGGCGTTGGATTCCAACGTGAACTCCCTGATGCCTGTTGACTTCCCTCATTTGCAGTATTTGCTAAATACTAACCACAACAAATCATACATATACATACATATATCAGAGTTGAGCTGCAAGATCATATCAGTTTTTTTAAAAAGCAAAAAGAAAAGAAAGTGTGGGGTTTACCAAAATCTCCATGATTGAAAGCTAAAAGGTTGGTGGGATTAGAAGTAGGGTTTGCAATCAAAGGTGACGGCTTTGCGTTGTTGAATGAAAGAGATAAGTTGAGGTCTGTGATATGGTGGTATCCCATTTTTGAAGAAGCAACACACCACAGACAAATATCTATCAAAGATGATGAGATTGCATTATATATATATATATATATACTTTAGGAAAGTACACCTTGTACTCCAATTATTTTAATTTTGGATAGCTCAAGCTTTCTGTAATATATATAAACTATAAGTTCAGTTTATATATTTTAATTCGAATTTACATAATCATTATATATGTCTTTTTCATTAGGTAGTAGAGTGATATATATCACTCATAATGGATTGATTGGTAGATATATAAATCCGACTGTCATATAGTAAATTTAATTGATGATTACGAGATTGAAACTAATCATGTTAGAGAGTTTGTGGTAAATGCCAAATGATGTATTACTCAATGCTTGGTATAAAGAGAATTTGTTGGATTGAATCTCCAACTTATTTTAAGCTCAAGCTCAAAGATGCAGCAGTTCATACCGATGAATATGATCCAATGGAAAACAAAGAGATTTTGTTCTCAGTTCTCAGGATAAATGAATAACAAGGAATTAATCACACACACATATGTATACTATTCAAGAAGCTTGTTGCAGGTGCAGACGCCGACAGCCGCCGCAAGATGCCAAGCAGCATGAATAAAAGGAGTCCTGCGGAACACATCATCTGCAATGAAAAGAACAACTCCCAAAACATTGTGAGCCACCCTTATTTCTGAGTCTTCCAATGCTCTTTTTGCAAATGCTACCTGAAATTGCATCAAGTTTTAAGTTTTAATGGAGAATATAATATAATGTTCCAAGGAAATAAACCAGCTTGTTAGTTACCTCCATCATTCCGGTGTGAACAGCCGAAACCATCAGAGGCTGCACAGGTAGAATAAAGCCGAAGCTGCCATTAGTAACTTCGGGTTCTCGTTCCTGAGAGCTCTTGATAGACACTGCACAAAAAAGAGGAGGGTTTCGAATTTAGAATCGGATCCGAATGTGCGACTTAGAGAAAGATATGAATCGGTTCGAACTTACCACGGTTGCTGTGGTAATCATCGTGTAGTCGGCCCACCTTAAATACTTCCTCAGCTTTCCTCTGGAAGAATGATACAAAGAAGAGGCAACTCCAACTCCAGTTAGTGAATTAGCATACAGCCTAGTGTTCAAATTTTTCCTGTGTTCACGTAAACAAATTATATTAGCAACATGATATGGATACCTTGTTGATGAAGCAAGTGAAAGAGAAAATAACATTGGGCCTTGGATTCCAAGAGCCATGAAAGGAAGTGAGGTTAACACATTAGCCACCGTCTCCTGAAGATTCCGGTCCCCTGACGAAAGCTTTCGAATATAAGCATAGGAAAAGAATCGTATACACGAAACACACACACAACGGGACCAATACCTCGCATACAACAATATCTTATAGGCTTTAAACAAGATGGTCTCTGCTGCCATACTCTGAAAAACACCGCGGATACATTATGGCGAGTGACAGACTATATAACACCGTATTCATTCGACCATCTACGTATAAATCGACAGATAGGATTAGAACAGATCGTCCGAAGCATAAGCTTTGCTTTAACTTGCTGCATCAATAGTGGTTGATTTGCTGTAATAAACGATCCATCGTGAGTTGATTGGAACTCCCCATGTTGGTTGATCTCCACAAATGCAAATGGTGAATGAGGAGACACTTGAACCCCATGTACACCCTCCAATGCTTTACTAGGCCTCGACGTCGTCCGGAGACACATAATCTTCGATCGAACGTGCGAAAAGCTTTCTACAAATTAACACAAGCAAAAGCACATGGTCAAATCACACATTCAACAAATTAAAGCATGGATAAAGCTTTCTACAAAAACACTAACTTGAACTTTTGTTCAACAATTTCACTTGAAATAGAATAAGGTTAAGCTCATATCATCATCATTCATTAAATACAGTCACGTTAGATTTAAAATCAGGTTAAAAAATACTTGACCCAGAAAAAATAATATAATTAATAATTTAATCAAATCTCTATTTTATCTAATATATGTGTGCATATATGTATTCGATCAAGACTAAAATAGATATTTATCTTAACAATTGAATTAGGCTTCGAACCGGTAGAGTTTTCTATAAATATGAATAAGGTCAACCAACTGGGTGAAGTATGGAGGTGTTATATCTAAATTAAATTCGGTTAGACCAAAAACACCAACTTGACTATAATCATCTCTAAATATATTAATAATAATATGATTCGAATTGAACTTGATCAATATGAAAAAAATATTTTGTGTCGTTTAATTCAATAAAAATAGATCGGTCATTAAATATGTTCATTGTCAAATAATTAAAATTTTCTGAATAAATAATATCTTATATTCACACTGATTTATATAAAATAACTAATAAATTGATAAATTAATAAATATTTAACCCATCTTGCTCCCTTAGTAAGAGACATAGGCCCCTGGGCCTATCTTTTGACTAGAATTGGGCCTGAGTAAGTTGATATTCTAATTCCAAACCAGAGTTAGGAAATATCAGTTTTTAAATGGCTTAATATCAAAATAAGTGTTCAAACTCGTTTTTTTCAAATAGGTGTCTAAACTAATTTTTGTCTCATCCAGGTGCCTAATGTAACATCCTCAATACCGGGTTAGTGATTAAATTGTAAAATTTCAGAATTGGGTGATAAAAGTAGAATAGTTGAATAGTTCAATGATTTATGTGGAGATTTCCTAAAAGTTGTTAGTAATTATTAAAGGAATTAAAGGGCAAAAGGGTAATATATATATATATATATATATATATATATATATATATATATATATATATATATATATATATATATATATATATTAAAAAATAGAAAACACAAATTTTGAAATAAACCCAAAACTTTGAAAACCTTCATTTCAACCCCTAAACCCACGTTGGGTGCCGCCTTTTACTGTCGATGAAGCTTCACCCGACTTCCCCTTACCCTGGCAACCAAAACCCCCCATGAAATCATGATCGATTGACGGCCTATCGACAACGAATCAATATTTTAAACCGCTAGAAACCAAGGATTAAAATTGTGATTTCGACGGAAAATATGACGGTGTATGAGTAGAAGGATGGCAGGGACTACGTCGGTGTAGGTGGTCTGGCCAGAAAGGGGGCGACGGTAGATTAAGGTTAGTATTTGGGATTTTGGGATTGTTTTATAATATAAAAAGTTAGTGTTTTTTATGAATATAATAATGTTTTTATATTTTATTTTGAAAAAATAAATTTCAAAATCACCAAATTGTGACACGTGTCACTTAACGGCAGAAATTAACGCCGTTGATAGCCCGGACACCTAAACGGGTAATGACTGTAACTTTAGACACCTAGATGAGACGAAAATTAGTTTAGATACCTATTTGGGTTTTAGGGTATGGTTTGGGCACTTATTTTAGTATTAACCCTTTGCATGATAATTACACATTAAAAAGCAACTTTAGTGGAATTCGTTGTATATAAGATAATTAGGTCATAAAATATTGATGATTAGATTTTGATATTCACATGTTGAAACAAAAAAAAAAGTTGTTTGTTTAGACCTTCAATTTGATTACAATGTACATTATAATCCTCAAGTTTGATATTTGTTGTAATTTAGTTCCTCAATTATGCGATATTTTTAATGATTGAATTTCTGATTTATGTCGTGATTGAATAAGGTTTTGTTTTAATTATCTGATATGATATCTTCGATCTAATTTATAATTAACTTAAATTTAAAATGTTATAATTATACCCAACATTTATGGATAAATTAAAAGAAGAGAAGATTGGTTTTTTGTGTGTGGTTAGATTAACGTATATTTATATGAATACATGCAGCATCGAGCCTTGAATATATTACCGCAGGCAACAGCAATTAGTATTGAACAGTCTCACAACACCCTCTGGCCTCTCCCAACATTAAGTTTAAAAATTAAAGGTAAATTACATATTTAGTATCTAAATTATAAATTTTATTCCGTTTTACTATCTAAAGTTTCAAATTCAAAACCATACATAATGGTTAGTTTTTGTTTTATTATAGTAACTCACCGTTAAAAATTTAATGGACGAGCTTGCCGGTCATCGTATCCGTCGGCCTATGAAGCCCAAACTTTCCAGCCTGCAACTTTTCGACCCCCTGGATGTAGGTATGGGCATGGGACCGAACCCGATGGGTTCTGATCCGATCGAGCATGATTTTTTAAAACATTTCGGATTCAGGTCGTATCGGGTCAATTTTTTTAAGGTCATGTTCAGGCCGAGTCGAGTTTAGGGTAAAACTACCCAACCCGAAAAAAATTATAATTTCACCTTATATATATAGAGATGATTGCAATAATATCCCTCCATATTATTTTCTTTCAATTAAATCTCTATTTTTATTGAATAAAAATAATATTTTTTATAAAAATATTATTTTGGGCCGGGTCGGGTCGGGTTCGGATTTTATCTCAAAAAATCATATTGGAGATGAAGGAAAAGGCAAATAATATATTTTGACTTCACAGTGATCGAACGATGATAATTATAGATTAGAGTCATCTTTCTATATGTTTCGAGTTGAAATTTTATGAGTTTTAAAGATATTTTAAGAAAATCCAAAGTGGTAGAATAGAATAGGATGATGAAGCAAGCTCTTCTATATTTGGAATGCTCAGAGAAGATGTCAAAGAATGACAATATAGATATAACGACATGAGATTAAAATGAAACTCCAAAAACTTTAAAATTATTGAGAAAGACAAAATAATGTGACTTCCATTTCAATAAAAAAAAACCAGATTGTTCTTGATTTAATGCTCGAGTAACAACAAAAATATAATAACTCTAAAGTTAAGTGATCAATTGGAAAAAATAAAGTTTATTAACCAGAAAGGGAATATGGTTAAAGTTGAGTGATTAAAATCATAATTTACCCCAAACATTAATGCCCCGAAAAGGAAAAGGATAAAAAAGTTGAAGCTTGAAAGAATTCTGACATAGAATACTATAACTAGGGTTTTTTTAGCATAGGGTCTAGGTTAAAATTGCAGTACATATAAGTTTCAATCATATTATTTCGTGAATTAAGATCATTGTTACAGTATTAAAAGGAATATGTCATGAATATTACATAAATTTAATTTTTTTTTCAAAAAAGACGCATGGATCACAAGTCTCCTTCATCGCTAACCATTTTTTCTTTGTTATGTATTCCCATGCATGTGGTTTGGGTAAACTGAAGACGCATGACAATTCATGCGTCTTCTACAGAGAAATTGAAGTCGTTTGGTGTTCCTGACGTCCTCTCCTTAACACTGTAACAATGGCCCTAGATCGGAAAATGATAAGGTGAGAGCCTTATAGAATTCTAGAATTTAATGATCACTCTCACCAATACCTAGCTTGTTAATGATAGAATTATCATCATAAATTATGGATGGATGATCATCAACTAAGATAGTCTCTAACACAATAACTCGTTTAGAGGAACTAGCTGGTCAAGGGCCATGCATGTCTGGGTTTGTTATTTAAAAGAATCTAAATATATATTTAAAAGAAGTTATTTATTTAAACAACTAATTGATTTAATGGAATGAATTAAGTAATCACATAGCTTAAATTTTAATATTGTGAATGTGATAAGCTGATTTAGAAGAGTAACTCTAAAATAGATTTTTATAATATTCAAGTATACAAATAGTCCTCGACTATAGAGTATTGCTTTATTAAGTTCGTCGACTATTAAAAGTTACAAAATGATCCTCTAACTATAGAATATTATTTTGTTATGTCCTTCGACTATTAAAAGTTACAAAAAGGTCACCCAACTATTCATTATGTTCCAAACTCATCATTTTTCGTTAAAAATTGACGGTTATCTAAGTTGGACATTAACATGATGATTGAAATATAATAATCATTTGATATTCTGGGATCAAATTTTATCATATTACAACCAACATGTCAATGTTCAGCTCATAATACCGTCAATTTTTAAACGAAAAATGACGAGTTTGAACCATAATAAATAGTCGGGTGACCATTTTATAACTTTTAATAGTCGAGGGACTCAACAAAGCAATACCCTATAGTCAGAGGACCATTTTGTAACTTTTAATAGTCGAAGATTCAATAAAACAGTATCCCATTAATTAATTAATAGATTGAATAGATTAATCGATTTGTTCTTATTCTCTCTTCTTTCGCCTCCACTTCCCATTCACAATTTAAAGTATTTTGCATGTAAAAGTATTCCACTCCATTTCCTTGTCTGCAATTTTAATAAGTTCTGTTCCATTTTGTAAACCAACTTGGTAGACCACTTGGAGAATCCAATTCCTTCTGCAATTTTCATAGAATCAACACCCCTCGATCGGCCACCACCACTCACCATTTTTTGTATCTATTTGATAGTTTAAGGCAATCAGAAGATCACACTTAACCTGAAAATCACATTAGTTATTGTACCTTGGTTTCCAAGCTATAGCAGTCGAAGTGAAACCATGGCTCAAATCAGGAAGATGGATTGCCAAGTAGTGATCAAATCATCGGCTGAAAAGTTGTACGATGCCTTCCGCACCAAGGCCCCGTTTCTACCGAAGATGTCGAACGGATTAATAGCCGATGTAAAACTTCTTCAAGGTGATTGGAACTCCGTCGGCGCTGTCAGACTCTGGTCTTATGTTTCCCAAGGTAAAGGCCTTCGTATTTTATATTGATAATTTATTTTAGTCTCTAAAATTTTGCGTTCGTTCTTGTACATATACATTTGGTATGAATAATCAATGCTAACGGTGTGCGATGTCGTCTTCTAGGTAAGTCTCAGGAGGTTAAAGAGATAATCGAGGACGTGGACGAAGAAAACAAGAGAATGGTCTTCAGATTGGTGGAGGGTGATCTACTGCAGTCTTATGATAACTGGAGGAACATCCTTAACATCAGCCCGACCGGTGAGGGAACCTTGGTGAAGTGGACGATGGAGTTCGAGAAACAGAACCAGGACATCCCTGATCCTGTCGAGTATGCTGCAAGCCTGATCGCCTTGACCCAAAATATCGATGCCTATTTTCTTAATGCCTACAGCTCTTAAGTATATGATAAATAAGTTCTCTTATGATGGCAATGCATGCGCATGGTTGAACTTTTGTAATAAAATAAAATAAAATATTACAAGAAAAAATGAATTATAATAAATAAAATAAGCTCAATGTATTATAAAAAAATATTGTATAAGAAGTGATCTCATTATAATATGTGATCATAAAATGTATGTTATCTATATGTTAAAGTTAATATAATAATCCATTTGATATTGTTCTTTTTCAGGAGAAGAGAATTAGAGTATATAAGAGAAGATTATTTTCGATGTGTACAAAAAAATAAATTTGGAGGGACAAAAATGAAAATTTAACATATGAAACAATAAAAAAGGATAAAGTGCACAAATGGTCCCTTGACTATGGGATACTACTTTATTGAGTCTTCTGACTATTAAAAGTTATGAAATGATCCATTGACTATAGGAAGTTGCTTTGTTGAGTCCATCGACTACTAAAAGTTACAAAACGGTCACCTGACTATTCATTATGTTCCAAACTCGTCATTTTCTGTTAAAAAATTAATGGTCGTATGAGTTGAACGTTAATATGATGATTGAGATATGATAGTCATTTGAGATTATGAGATCATATTTTATCATATCTCAGTCAGTAGATTAACGTTCAGCTCAGACTGTCGTTTATTTTTTTAACGGAAAAGGACGAGTATGGAACATAATAAATAGTCTGGTGACCATTTTATAATAGGGACTGTTTAGTCAAGAGACTCAACAAAGCAACTTCCTATAGTCAATGGATCATTCATAACTTTTAATAGTCAGAGGACCATTTAGTCATACTTGTAATAAATAGTCGAGAGACTCAACAAAGCAACCCCTATAGTTGGGGGACCATTTACTTGGTGGACTCAACAAAATAATATCATATAGTCAGGGGACCATTTGTGTACTTTACCCTAAAAAAATGTGTTTGTATATCGATTATTTTGGATCGAATTTTACATAGGCCCAGTATGATGGTGACCTCCCTACTCAGTTGACTATATTCACAAATATCAAAATTTGAACTCTTGACTGGGGATGTTCAAAAAATCCAACCCGGTTAATCGACCCATCGACTCAAACATAAAAAAATTAAGTAATTATCTAAAAAAAAGTTACTCGATTGGGTTGGGTACCTGACCCGTGATTTTTCTCGAGTAGTTGGGTAGGGTCTGGGCCAAAAAAATTTATAACTGGGTGCCCAACCCAAACCATTAGTTTTAATATATATATATATATATAGTTTAAATTATATTTTCATTTTAAATTCCTTAATTTTTTATCTTAAAATTAAATTTAATTCCCTAAATTTTTCTTAGGTGTGTATTATGTACTTTTAAGTTTTCAATTTTTCAAAAAAGTTTTTATTAATTTGTCAGCATGGGATTTGAAAGAAAAAATCACGATCGATTTTAATATTTTTAATGTTTTCTTTTGGAAATAAACTTTGATATATATATATATATCCTTAAAACTAACTTCAAATAACTAATTTTTGTGTATGGATTGTATATTATGAACTTTTAAATTTTTATGTATTTCATATGTGATTAGTTTTTAAAAAAAATTAAATTAAAAAAAATAAAAAAAATATATATGAACTGGGTACCCGTGACCCGAAAATACGGGTACCCAGATCTTAAGGTACCTGGACTTAACGGACCGAGTCACGGGACGAAAAATATACTACCCGGAGAATCGGATACCTGGTACTTCGGGTACCCAGTACTTCGGGTACCCGATTTTGAACACCCCTACTCTTGACCTTGTTTAAGGAATATAATGTCTCATTCCACTAGTCCAACTAGTTATTGATACTATTCAAAATTATTTAATAACTTAATCAAAAAACATTCCAAAACTCAAAATACGACGTTTATTCAGGTAATTTTCCCCTTTATTCATTAGCAGTAAAAAAGGAAAAGTATTTGGTTCAAATACACAATTTTCTAAAGTAGAAGGGCCATGTAGAGAAATAATTTGGACTGAGACCGCACCTTGGACAAAATTTGTATTCCGGATATTGGGCCTGACCCGGATCCAGGACTTGGCAGATTCGGTAAATTTCCCACGTTACATGCTCTGCCCTTTTATTTGATTTATTATTAAAATGTGTTTTTAATTATTTTTATTATATTTAATATATGAATTTTTCCTTAAATTAATAAAAATATATGAATTTTTGTACTTATATTATAATAAGATCTTTGTCATTTTGGATATCATAATAATAGTAGGAGTAGGTATAAGTCATGTCATGGTATGAATTTTGAAAAATCGATGGTTTTAGCGGTGAAGGGGGTGCGTTGTTATCGTAAGAGGATTTGAGTTTGAATAGCTGTATATATAGAGTGTATCTAATGATTAATAAAATTTTGATTTGATATTACTTTGTAATCAATTCAAATTATTATAAAAAACTGATGGGTAAAGTATACAAATAGTCCTCCAATTATAGTGTACCACTTTATTAAGTCTCTTAACTATTAAAAGTTACAAAATTGTCTTTTAATTATAGAGTGTTGCTTTGTTAAGTCCCTATACTATTAAAAGTCATAAAATGGTCACTCGAGTACCATTATGTTCCAATCACGCCCTTTTCTATTAAAAGTTTGGCGGTTGCCTAAGCTAGACGTTAACATGATGGCTGAGATATGATAGTCGTTTGAGATTCTGGGATATGTCATACTCAACAGATTAACGTTCAGCTCAGAATACTATTAATTTTTAACCGAAAGGATGAATTTGGAATATAATGAATAGTCGGATATTAATTTTTTAACTTCTAATAGTTGAGGAACTTAATAAAATCGTACCAGAGGATTATTTGTGTACTTTACCCAAACAAAATTCACTTAAATATAAAATTAGATTATCAGTAAAAAATACTTAAATTATACGATAATTTCAAATTTTCGAAAAATAACACTTGTCTAGCTAGATCAATCATGTGTCTCATTATTGGATTCTTATTCAGACATTAGAAAAATAAAATGATTAAAATATGTGAAGCATTGCTGACACTTGACAATATTCCGAATTCACCCAATTCGGTACATCACCAGGAGGAATCCAATTCGTTGGGCTTGGCAAAAGAGTCCAGCACAATTTTCAGGGAATCATCACCCTCCATAGGCAGTGGGGGAGCCACGGCTTGGTCAGGGTAAACGCGTGTCTACGATATATAAATTTTTTTCGATTAGTTATTTATTTTATTGATGGTATTTATCTTAAAATTTTTCGTGTCCACACCAAAATTCGAGTTTTCTTTGATCAGTAACTTATTTTATGTATGATACCCACCTTGAAATTTTATTTATACTCGTCTCATTTAAAAAATTTATGTTATTAACATATGTATATAAAAATATTTTTGGATTCGTGACTGTGGATAGGACACACCATTCTTCGCTAGTCTTTCAAGGCTCCGAAGGGTTTCCACTTTCCACCATCCTTCTATATAAGACGGTCGGCTAATCACACTCACACTGCAAATCCCATTAGTTATTGTGCCTTGGTTTGCAAGCTAGCAGGCGAAGTGAAACCATGGCTCAAATTAGGAAGATGGACTGCCACTTAATGGTCAGGTCATCGGCCGATAAGTTCTACGACGCCTTCAGGAACAAAGCCAAACTTACACCAAAGATGTCCGATGGATTCGTTGCCGACGTAAAACTTCTCCAGGGTGATTGGAATTCCGTCGGTGCCGTTAGGCTCTGGACTTATGATTTCGAAGGTATTAATTCCATCGATGTATTTTCAATTGAGTGTTTGTTGTCTTTAATGGTGTAAATAAACACAGTGATCGACGAATTGTTCGTAGCGTTTATTAAGTTAAATTTTTATGTTCATTTAATAGGCGAACTGAACAAGCTCGGTTCGTTTATGTTCACAAACAAGCTCCTTTATTGACTCGTCTGCAAGCTCGTTTATCTAATTTTACTTTTCTTTTTCTTTTTTATATTTTAAATATTGATGAATACAAACAATAAATTGAATATAAGGTGAACTTTGGAATTCAGAACGTGAAATCTAATGAACCAAAGGACGATTGACATAGTTTTACCATTTCTAAACATATTCGTGAGTAATAAATAAACAAATATTGAAAATATAACATGAATGCGATATTGAAAATATAAGCGAACACCAATCGAACATAAATATTTTTAAATATAAAGAAACTGATATGAACACGAATTTATTAGTTCAGCTCGGTTCATTTACACTTCTTGTAGGTAAGTCTCAAATGGTTAAAGAAATACTGGAGGGCGTAGACGACGATAACAAGACGATGGTTTTCAAAGTGGTGGAGGGTGATGTCTTGAATTATTACAAGAGCTGGAGGACCGTCCTAAACATCACGGCGGCCAGAGAGGGAAGCTTGGTTAAATGGACTATGGAATTTGAAAAGCAAAACGACGACGTCCCCGATCCCATCAAGAACGCCGACTACCTGATAACCTTGGCCAGAAACATCGATGCTTATCTTCTTAATGCTTAATTGAAGTATGGATCGTTAAATTATAAAGCAAAACACACATATTAGTACCTGATGAGATGTATAAATATATCTCATTGTCCAATAATAATAATAAAGATGGTTCAAACTATAATGTATCAAGTTTTTTACATTTTATTCGAGGGTAAAATATAAAATTCCGTACTAAACTTCACTCTCTCTATTATTTTATTCATCGTATTTTTAATTTTTTAATTACTCTTGTTTTAATCACTCTAAATTATTTTATTATTATTTTTGTATGACGTGGTATTTTTTATTATTTAATCTAAAAATAATTTAAAATATAAAATAAAAATAAAAGGTCACCGGATGCCACTGCCGTCCACCATAGATGGTGGTCGTTTGGTCTCAAATTTCATGGGTCTGTTCACCTCGATCCCCTAAGTCCGAATCTGATGATTGTTTTACCGAATAATGTCCCAAAACCCATGAATCTCGACTGAAACATTTTGGATTTCTCACTTTCGATCTCCAATTCGTGGACTTCGGAGCAAGTTCCGACAAAATGGAGGTTGGATTCAGACTTATGGTGTAGAGGCAAATCGATCCAAGAAATGTGGGACCGAACGGCTACCATCTACGATGGTAGGTGATGGTGTCTGACCACTTTATATTTTAATTTTATATTTTAAATTATTTTTATATTAAATAATAATAAAAATGTATGTCATACGAAAATAATAATAAAATAGTTCAGAATGATCACAATTCAGAAGTTGAGTAAATTAGAAAATTGAAAGTACAATGAATAAAATAGGTGAGAGTAAAACTTAATCAAGAATTGTGTAATTTACCCTTCATTCAAAACTGACTGTTTAGGAGTTCGAAATATTCTTTTTCAAAAAATATTTTATAAATTTATTCGAAAGAAATAAAAAACTTCTCAAATAATCTAATAATGTCAGTGTATTTGCATCTTTAAATATTATTGTATCAAATCCATGGGATTAAATATTAGATTGTCTTTCCATAATGGAAGTAGTTAAAATCACTAGATTTTCTTTTGTCCTTTCTCCATTGTTGCTTACTTCCGTCACTAGTTAGTTCAGCTGACAAATTGCCGTGTTAGCCGTTGGATTAGGTTGGGCGGTTAGGATTCTCCACTCATACAATGTCTAAAGAAAATTGTTTTGGAGACGATTTAATAATATTTTTTATGTAACATGAAATATCCAATTTTTTTCTTGTCAGTAGAAAAAATGAATTATGGTGATTAAGGGGTTTGAACTCGTAATCTTAGTGTCATGGATTCCCATGCCTTAGCCATTAAGCTAGACTTCTATTTGTGTTTTAATTATTTAAATATATGTTTTATTATAATTTTACTGGGTGTTAACCCATAAACCCCCTTATTCGGAAACTAACCTTAAATCTCAAAGTTTTCCCCCCAAAATCAAATAACCCTAGCCATTACCCTCGAACCACCCCGTTCCGATCGTCATCAATATGCGCCGTGTTTTATTATAATTTTACTGGGTGTTAATCCATAAACCCCCTTATTCGGGAACTAACCTCAAATCTCAAAGTTTTTCCCCCAAAATCAAATAACCCTAGCCATTACCCTCGAACCACCCCGTTTCGGTCGTCATCAATATGCGTCGTCACCGCCAGCTGAATCAGCGTCCTCCGGTGACTCAACCCCGACTCTTAGATCACCCCAATCGATCACCGATCATCGCCAAACTAGGGAGGAAAACCCTCTCATCGTCGTTTTTCCCTCGATATCGACCGTTCCAGCCACCGATTGGCTGCATTACCGACGTCTTTAGACTCACCATTGTCGTCCGCTCAAAACCCAGCCCTTGGGTCACTCTATCGTCCTCGATTTCCACGTTGTCGGCGTGGGTAAGTCTGATCTCACCCCGTTTAAATGTAATTCACGATTGAATAGATTTTGGTTGAATTTTTTGACTGAATTTGATGGATTCTGGTAAGTGGAAGCTCTCGGAGTAGTCGGCTGCCGTCCTCCGACCCGTTGCCGCTGCGTGAGCGTGGGGCTCGTTCCCGCCTAGAAAAAAACCTTCTAGAACGTTCAAGTGGATCGAACCGGCCCAAACCAGTTTGAATCGGTCTGAGTCAACTCGGGCCGAACCAAATCAACCCGAACCAACCCGAGTCAACCAAACCGGTATGACTCGTTGACCTTGACCCGAACTGTGGACTTTGATCTGACCGTTGACCTACATGTTGACTTTGACCAGCGTTGATTTTGACCAAAAAGTCAAATTTTCTGAAAAGTCATATTTTATGTTTTTCGATTTCCTGAGTCCAAATCCGAAGTAATTTTTTGCCAAATTTTATCTCGAATAGCTACTTTTTGGCATTTTATCTCCCTATTCAATACGAATTTTCACTTTTAAGTTCCGTTTATAATGTAATTGGTTTTTCCATATATCCGAGACATTATGAGATGTGGAATTAAAGTTCGAGAGAAATCAAATAAAGTTAAATTGGTTAACCGATATGGCTCGTAAATCGAGGTAATACTCTACTACCTTTAGTATGTTTTTCGAAACTCATTGATAATTGGTAAATGCATGAATGGAAATGATTGGTCAATTAGGTGTATTTAATTATCATTGGACTCAAACTGAATAAGGAATAAAGGTAGAACACTGTATAATACTCGGACGACTCGCAAAAGAAATTGGTAGATCGATCGAAATTAATTCTAAGTTCAGGGATTTGTTAGTAAATAAATTGACCTCATGATCTAAAATTCTTATTAATTTTTATAAAGGTTGAATGCCGAGAATACTTGGTTAAAAAATTACAAAAATAACTCTATGGAGTAAAATTACAAAAATGTCCTTGTACTGTAAAAAAAGACCAAAATTGCCCCTGAAGGTGAAAAATAACCCAGAAAGGACATACTTGACCAATTACCAGAAAAAGTGCATATGTTTGGATTGAAAAGAATTACCAAAATGTCATCGAGCTACGAAATAACTAAAATAACCTCCGATATTCAAATGATTAAAATACCCCATGAACCCCAAAGGATTAGAATACCATGAACTCTAAGATGACCGAAGTAACCTCGAGTGTTAAAGTGATCTAAATATCCTAACTACTTGGAATAAGTGAATGTCTTTGGATAAATTCTAGAAACACCAATAAACTTATGTTGTATCATCCCTAAAGGTTATGGAGCATAACTAAAGTATGCTGAGTATTCTTGATATTGATACATCACTGAAATATATAATAAAATCGAATACCTGATTGTCTCCTCTAGTTCCGTTCAGTGGTGATTCTAAAAGTGACCAATTCAATAGTGTAATCAATATTAAAAAGTAATTATTCGTGAAGTATATTAGTCTGGATTATTGACAAGTTTTATAGGGTGGAGATCGGTTAGTACGATTTGACTCGAAATCATGATAATTTAATATAAATTCAGAATAATGCAAACTATCGCTTTATCTTTTTTGGATTAAGTTACTAAGAATCCATCATAAATTAACATGTCTGAAATACCCCTATTTGTCTGAATAATGGAAACACTCATGTTATATCTAGATCTTCAATAATTTTGATGTAAAGGTTCCTGAGTACCTTTTTAATACACTCAAATCTTAAATGATTTTGGAAACATCATTTCTGAATGTTGATTAGATTTGCTAATGAACGAACCTTTTTATAGGGACCTCGATTATGAATTCCATCCAAATCTACAGAAATTATACGTTTTTCCTTCTGATAACGATCAATTACCTCAGAAAAATAAATGAATCTTCTGGTGTGTTCCCTATATGTTACCTGACCATTTTATTTGTATTGAAATTATAAATTGATATATGGTTGATTTACGATTGTTTTTACTGATTGATATAATGATTTATTGGTTACTTGTTTTACTGGGAGAAAAAAGAAATATGCCTGAAGTATGTATCATGGAACTATTGATTACTACTTGAATTGTTTTATTAGGACGCTATATGGGTAGGCTGGAGTATGGAGGTTCAGCTCTGATCAAACTGGTAATTTCTTACAGACTTAAGGTGACCTTTGGGTAGGCTCTAAGGCCCTAAGGCACTCCCTTAGTATGGGGATTGTATTTTGGTGTACAGATGAAGGGCATTTATGTGATTTAAATAACTACATTGTCATTTTTACAACATTCTGATGGATCATGATTTTGATATTAAAGTTATTACTCAATTTGAATTCTACTGGATACTATATGGGTAAGAGTTTAGAGTACGGAGGTTCAGCTCTGATCAAGCTGGTAAATCCTTACAGACCTAAGGAGACCCTTGGGTAGGCCCACAGGCCCCAAGGTACTCCCTTTGGGTGGCTCCTTTATTGTATGCTTAGGGTAAGTCCTTATGCATGCAGTTATGGGGGACTGCATATAGAGTATTTGGGTGGAGGGTATTACAATGATTTTAAAACATTTTTTATTGAAATAAACTACTATTGTTTTTAAATTATGATTACATTTATTTTGATTTGGAGGGAACATACTAGACTCTTCATCTCAATCTCCTAAGTCTCTCTCTGAATATTTCCTTCATATTTTGATTTCCTGACTATTACCTAAAGAAATGATTAATGAAATCTGAGCTCGTCAATAGAACCTGATGATATTTGTATCGTTCAGAAAATTCATGCTTTACTTATACCTGATGGCCTATTACATTCATCTATTAGTTCTGTATTACTGAGCTTCCCAAAGCTCACTCTTTACTCACAATTTCAAGTTAAAAGAATCGATCCAGTGTAGCTAACAACTTCAGTATTGGGAGTTCTTTCAGTTTTGCTTTCAGTGTACGATACAATGTGTAGTTAGGGGGCATGTAGGTCACATTTGATTTTTTTATATGTACTGAGTCTGGAACTTGTATGATTTTAATTCTGTTTGTAATATATGAATGGTTTTATGAACTTGTATTTTATTTATAAATTGTTTTATAATTTTACACGTTTTAAAAAAATTAATTTTTTCTAGATTTTTACTGTGGGTCGCTCCGATGGCCTTAATATGATACCTCAGATCAGATAGGGTCACCCGTAACGGTCTAAGGGTGTTACATTTTACCTCAATGACAACTAAATTATTATTATTCTTTGAGATTTCGGGTTTGAGTATCAGATATATCAAAAGTCTAAGCATTAAATATTAAATAATTGATATTTATTTTTATACAGAGTAATACATTATTTATACAACTCCTGCAAACTAACCAACCGCCTAACTTCAACAATTAGTGATTGGAAGTATGGTTTAAGGTGGACAAATTCCCACAAAAAAAATCCAAATTTATTTATGTTGAATATTTATTTTATTGATTATACTAATCCTTAGATTTTATTTGTGTTCGCCAAAAAAAAAGATTATATTATTAATATATATGTCTATTTTAAAATATGAATTAACTACAAAGATGATTATTTATGTTTGTGTTTTGTCCACTCGTTTTTATTTAATTAAGATATGGTCACTTTATTTATTTATTTATTTAAGATGTGGTCACCACGAGTTATCTGTCGTTACCAGTTAACAGATTAAGTGACGTGATATTTTGGTATAATAACATGTTTGGTCCCTATTATTTACATATTCTCTCAATTTAGTCATACTTGTAATAAATTAAAATAAATTCAATCCTTCAATCGAATGATGTCACGTCTCACTAGTGTCATGTGCCGTTCCACATGTCATTATTCGATTGGAGGACTAACTTTATTTTAATTTAATATATTTATTTTCTACCAATTTGCTTTGCTTTGTTAAATTAAAATAAATTAAATTAAAATAACGTAATTCTTCCAACTAAACGGTGATACATAACACGACACGTGGTACCAATGACAGTGGCATATTCGATTGAAGGATTAAATTTATTTTAATTTATTAAATGTATGACTACATTGAGAGAATATATAAACAACAATGACCAAATGTATGATTATACCATAATATTTAATGACAGTTAACTCATGATTATCATATCTTAATTAAATAAGAACGAATGTGATCATATCTTATGTATTTTGAAATCAATTACCAAAAGTGGACAAAACACAAACATAAATCCTTATCCGTATAATTAACCCTTAAAATATTTTTTCATGCGTCACATATATAAAAATCTTATATATATTGTTTAACGAATCTAAATTTATTTACTGAAATAATAAGAAATAAATACACTGGAACACTTGGGTTAGCATTACTGCATAATGAATCTGGTGTGCCTCGTCGGACAGGATTGCAGCCTACTGCCTACGTATGGACTTGGACACCGGTCTATAAAAGGTGGCAACCAATGCACAAATGTTCAAAGCTAAGCCCCGCTATAATCAAAGAGAAGTCTCGGTTGTGAAACGATGGCGTCGTCGCCTCTTTCCGGCAAGCTCGAGTTCGACGTAGAAACCGACGCGACTCCCGAACAGTTCCACCATATTTGGGCACACAGGCCTCACCATGTGCACCACACCAACTCTGAGAAAGTACAATCATGTGATTTACACGAAGGCGAATTCGGGAAGCCCGGTGCCAAAATTTTCTGGAAATATGCTCTTGGTATACATAATTTTCGGGAAATCGTTTCTTTTTCCCTTCATCTCTCCTTTTTTCACATGATATCTAAGAAAAATCGAAAGTGAATAGCAAGACGATCTTAAAATAATTTTATGAAGTCGTCTTCCAACATAAAATCTTGCATCGATCTGTCCTTAACATAACTCATATAATTCTATGTGTGTGTATAGATGGAAAGCCGAAAACAGTGAAGCACGTTGTCGATTATGACCACGACAACAAGTCGATAGTGTTCGCGATGCTCGAAGGTTCTCTGATGGAGGAATACAAGAGCTTCGTGGTTACTATTCAAACTCTCCCCAAGAAGGATGGTAAAGGCTGTGTAGCGCACTGGATCGTGGAATACGAAAGGCTGCACGAGGGGATCGGACACCCCGAGAGTATGCGCCAGTTCTTCATCGAACTCGCCCGCGATGTCGGTGCTCACCTCGTAAAAGAAGAATAACTCAACGCTTACTAAATGAAAAAACTCATGTTGAAATCGTGTGTTGTTTATGTTGAAGTATCGATGTAAGAGTAAAGTTGGGATCTTTGTTTCGTGTTTATTAAGGCTGTAAGAGAGGGAGCGATGATCAGCTTTCTATGTTCTTCTGTATGTCTTTTGTTCTACGTTTCTAAATGAACTTCTGTTGTGTTGTGTTTGATTTCTTGATGGCTTTCTATATTTTTAGGGTTTCCTTTTTCCTTTTCAGAGTGATAGGTCATACCCAACTGAGTGTTGGTTCTATTCAAGATGGAATTAAAGAAAAACCAGATACTATTGAGAACAAAATCATCATAGATCATTCATCATACTTAAATCCCGAAGCCCATTATACTAAGTAAATTCCATCGATGTATTGCTCACACAATCACATTTCTTGTGGGATTAATTATTGCTAATGATGTGTTTGTTGTCTTGTGTAACTGAATTCAATGAACTGCTCGTATAACATTCGTTTATTAAATTAAATAAAATAACATTCGTTTATTAAATTAAATAAAAGAATATGAATAAAATTATTATGTCATTTAATAAAAAAAACCGAACACATTGGTAAAGATAGTTGAATATTAAGTTTGTTTATGCTCACGGACAAATAGACTTGTGTACAAGCTCATTTATCTCATTGTTCGTACAAAATATTTCGACAAACAGACTTGTGTATAAGAGGTCGAATTTTGAATAAGTGGAGAAGTTCTTATATCCCTGAAAATGTGGTGAGCTCAGATTCGGTGGCGGAAAGGCGGCGGTTTTGACCAGAAATCGCAAAAATCGAACGATGATGTGGGCTTTTCATTGGACTTTCAAACGCCACTCCACCACGAACGATGGCGACTGGAGGCGAGTGGATGACTGGGATATGACCGGTCCGGGACGCCGCTTCCACTGGGCTAGGCGATGATTACTCCCGATGAGCGGTGGTCGAGGTTGGAGGTGGGCGACCGAATGGTTTCCTTGCGATTAATCTCGACGATGATTGATTTCGGGTGATCTGAGGGTCGGGTTGAGGTCGTCGGTTGCTGCTGAGTTCGGTGGGAGCGGCGGTGTACGCCGCCACCGGTCGGAGAAGGGTGATCCGGTGACGGGGTTAAAGGTTAATGGGTTGAAATGAAGGTTTTCAAAGTTTTGGGGGTTATTTAAAAAAAATTGTGTTTTATTTTTTAAAAATATATATAATTTTATTTTTTTAATTTTAAATAAAGTTTTTAAAATTACCAAATTGTGACACGTGTCACTTAACAGAGAAAACTAACGGTCAGTAAAGGCGTGACCCATTTTGAGTAACGGAATGAAACGTTAGGCACCAAACTGGAACGAAAAAAAACGTTAAGCGCTAAACTGGAAAAACAGACATACGTTGGGCACATTTTGTATATTTAAGCCATCATTAAACTATTATCAAAGGTGATATTGATATTCATTAAACTTATTACCAAATTTGGTGGCTAACTAGGAGTATAATTAAAAAAGAGAATAAAACATATATTATTTTACTATCCGTCACATTGTTAAAAAATATATAATAACAATAAATCATTCGTCCATTTTTACTCATTTATCAATTATAAAATAGGGCAATATTCGGACAAATCAAATTGGGTAAATTAAAGTTGGTTTGCTTTTGGTTTGTGTTACTTTCGATTAGGATTATTTTTTGTTTAAATTGATTTCAATTCGGGTTAAATTCGGTTCAGGTTGTTTTCGGATTGAGTTAAAATTCGATTCAGGTTGCTTTCGGTTTCGCTAAATTTTGGATCGGGTATGATTCGGATCAGGTATGGGTCGTGTATCGGTTCAAATTTAATTATCATATTCGGATTAATATCAAATATCGGGTCGTATAAATTAATTCGAGTAACCGAGTTCGGGTCAAATTTATCGGGTCTAATTACGATTTAGATCGGGTTCACATCGTTTTCTAATAAAAGTCCTTTTGTCGAGAAAAAAATTATTATAACCAAGTCATAAATCACACTAATACGACCACAATATATGTTAATATTATTATATATCGCTCGTCATATTGATATATTATATAATTGTCATTAGGTTCTCTATTTGCATGCTTGATGTGTAACTACACTCCATCAAAATATATTCTAATCACAATTATCACATTGAAAATGTGTGAATTAAAATATTAAAACCTATTTACATGATTGATGAGGTATTGAAAAGATTGATTAAGATTTTAATGGACAATTGTTCTTATTATATACAACTAAATCGAGGATAGTCACGAATCAAGCGATTTCGGTGGTAAATGAATTGTTGTTATTCTTTAAGGCCTCTGGTTTGAGCACTAAGAATGTTTGGGGTATGAGCGTTCAATGTCAAATTGTTGAAAATTATCTTTGAACAGATATTGACTTGTACTTACCGTAGATTAATAAAAAATCGAGGATAGTTTAATAATTCAAGGTTTAATGATTTGCAATAAAAAAAATGCAATTATTAATAAGAGGGTAGGAAAATGGAATATTTTGGTTAGGCGTGGACTTCTTTGACAAATCTAATTGTGACCTATGTGGAGAGGTTAGTATATTGATGTTATTATATATACTCAACTACTATTATATTTTTGGATTTAATTGACATTTTCAAAAAGTCTGATGGTTTAATTGATTTTAACATAATACAAAAATTCAACCCTAATGTTTAATTGTACAGCTAATTTAATCTTTATTCTTTTTTAAACACTTTAGGCCTCAACGTTTCATTTTGAATCAAAATGACCCTTGATTGAACAAAAACCGATAAGTAGCTGCTCCCTCCGTCCCACTAAATGTGTCTCTATCACAACCTAATTTTGTCCGAGTATTTCAACTTAAATCGAAGGTGATCAAAGATGCTCGTGCATTGATCCAGACGGCATTGGGGGAATTTGGGAGCGTACCTTTGCTTAATTGGGGGCACATGTTCATTTTGAAATTCGAAGCGTGTACCAAATATATATATTCGGATCCATAAAAAATGTCCCTTTTTACCTTTCAAAATCCTTAAATCAAAGCCCAAATGTTTATTACAATTGAAACCCATGTTAAACCCATCTCCTTAATTACATTCAGACCCATGTATCCATTCAACCATAAACCAAAAGTCCACACACAAATTAAACCAAATGCACACTATTCATTTACATCCATTAAATCATAAACCCAATGCATTTCGACCCGATTACAAATACCCAAACTAAACCTAAGCCCATTTGCTTAATATTGTGACAGAGTGTTAATGCAAACCCTCGCTCATGGGTATTTGTTTTCTTATTCTTGTGAATTTGACACGTTTTTTTACTTGGTTTGATTTTGGTCACTAATTTGTGCCATTTCGAATTTGTTATGAATTTTACAGGTTCTAATCATGCTATTTTTCGTTTTCATGTTTAAGGTTAACTTTTGGGTTATTCTCTCTCATACCCCTAAACCATTGCCATGTTTTTCGCTTTCAGTAACTGGACGCTTTTTATATGCTTTGATTTTAACATGCTTTTTATGTTTATTTCATTTTAGTCCTTGTTTTCCATATATTCTTATTTAGAATTTGGTCCTTTTTATTTTTATTTTAGTTCATTTGAGCCTTAAATTTAGACTTCTCACACTTTAGTCTTTAAATTTAGGGAATAATTCGATTTGGCTCTCGCATTTAGATGCTCGAGGGTTCATTTCGATTATTCGATTCAATAATTGGTAAAATTAATTAGGTTATTAATTAGAGCCTTAATCTTAGATTCTTCACTCTTTAGTCTGCGAACCTTTTATTTAGATGTTTGTTTGACATAATCAATTAGGTCCTTTTTTAGGTAGAATTTCACTTAGTCTTTAATTTAGGGGTTAATTCGATTTGGCTTTCGCATTAAGATGTTCGAGGCTTCAAATCGATTATTTGATTCAATATTTGGTTAAAATAAATTAGGGTTAATATTAGAGCCTCCATATATAGGTTTAGTCCTCTAGGCTCTGTAATTTTCATAATTGAACAATTTAAGTTAGAATTTGCCTTAATTAACTCACCTAGCCTAATTAGGTCTTTAAAAGGTTGTCTGATCGTATTTGTTTTTAAAAGATAAGGCAATGTTGATTTATTAAGGAGTTAATATTGTATCATCCGCATTATGCTCAGGGGGTGATCGCTGGTAATTCCTGAAGTAGGTAGACATCCTTTTCAATACTCCATGTCATGATTTCTTAAAATCTGAGGCAATGTTCGTTTATTAGGGTCAATAATTGAGCTTTCGTATTCATGCTTGAGGGCGAATGTTATTAGTCTTAATAAACGAGTATCATTTCAAATTTGCATCCATAATGATTTTTAAGTTAGATAAAATCTCGAGCTCAAAATTTCTAAATTTAAATATAGGGTAATCAACTAGGTACCAATTTATGGGTGTTGTGGGGGTGCTAATCCTTCCTCAAGCGTAACTGGCTCCCGAACCCGATTTCTGGTTTTCGCAGATAAAACTATTATTTTTTATAAAATAAAATGGTTTATTAAGATTACCTGATTTTTTGCTATTCCAATCGCACTTTAAAATGATTGGTGGCAACTCCAAACATTTCATTTCATAAAACCTTTTAAAAAATCCCATCGTCGCAACTAGTCAGCCTTTCCCTGAAAGGATCGATTGTGACAGTCTCTTTTAATTTTTTTAAATTGACTCATTCAAAATGTCCAATTAAAAAAGTCAACAAACAACAACACTTATTTTTTTTATCATTATATGTTCTACTCTTTTACACCTATCAAAACAAATCTATCAACAACGTTTTAGGGATAATTTTGTCATTTTCGTTAATCAAATATATCTCCTAAAACAATGCGTATAGTCTATATCAAACACAAATTATGAAACTGAAAGAATAATAGGTTAATATTTGTCAATGATATAACACATTTTATATATCTAAGATGTTGAGATGAAGTTATCATATATATATATATATATATATATATATATATATATATATATATATATATATATATATAAAGTAATGTTGTATCGTATCACATCAACAATAAATATAAGTTCTTATTTTTCTTTATCATACAAATAAAATGTTTTTGATAAAAATAAAT